AAGCTAACGACAAAACAACAACAGCTCAAGTTCTTCTAGAGATTGTTTCACTTACTTGTGAAACATCAAAATGTCTTGGAATAAATACTTCATCTCATTTAGCTTACCAGAAGCCGTCAATAGGTAAATTTAACAAAGTTTAGATCTCAAAATCGCAGCTTGAATGACTAGGTAGATATTGCTCAATGATCTCAGTGGCTGCTAAAAAAAAATGGAGTATGAAATGATATTTCTTTCCCCTCACAATTGAGCTGATCTTTCTTCATTTTCATTTTCTTAAAATATGACTCACGCGTATGATGTATGCTAACTTTTCTCTTTTCTTCTCTCTTCATTGGTCACAAGATCAACCACACTACTTGGCTTCAATCTCCATAAAAATAATTCTAATCCACTTATCAAATTTTCATTAATTATCATGAAATTGCTAACAATTATCTGGATATAGCTGTTTTCATGAATTGAACACTATTCGACATTAGTATGCAATTCATGTTCCATTATGAGGAAAGGGATTTGCAGTTGTGTACTATTCCATCTCATTTTCAAATGTTGAGGCCTTTGGACTTCTGAAGACTCAGAAGGCAGCCAATGAATCTCTAAGGTACTTATCAAATAAAATAAAAAATAAAAATGGATCTCTAAGGTAAGATTTACTTCCATGAAATCCTCACTATGTGAATGATCTAAAATGAATCACCATGGTTAGTGGAGACGAAGAAACTATGTGAATGATCTAAAACGGTTAATGGAGATGAAGAAACTTCATTATTTAATTAACTTCGCTTCAAATGTCATTCTCTACCTTTGCATGTTTGAACTTCTAATTGCACTTATATTCCTTCATCTGATCTCGTATGTCAGCATTTGTTCTTATATTATCATCTAGTATCCTGGACGACAACACACATGTAATCTCCCCTAGTTACAAGTCTTTTTGTCCAATCAGTCATCTGAACTGTCTCCTTGTCTGTCCTCAACTACTTCAGACAAATTACATCCGATCTCCTCGTCTTAAGTTCTCCCATTTTCTCTGTTTGTCTTAATTTAGACGTTTGACCTTGTTTCTACAAGTTTGGTCGGCATAGACTAACTTTATTTGTAGTATATGTTTGTTATGATCAAATAATTCTTAAATCATTCTTAACTATGTATTGCAAATATTAATCTTAACACTTGTCTATGTTGCATTTGTTTCTTTTATTGCAGATATAGACTTTATTATCTTCGCTAATTGAGAGTGATGACCATATATATTTTTCTCCAGCGCTTATATTTGATAGCAACATAATGAATGATAGTATTTCATGTGCGACTTATGCTGGAGCTTTGTTCTATGCTACATAATGAATTAATGGGCGCAAAATATCTTTGCTCATATCTATACTGTAGCTGGAACTGTAATATGATGATATATTGATATTTATCTTATATTAAATGTTTGTTTGGGAAGTAAGAAGTTTCTTTTGGAGTAGTCATATTTTTCCCATAAATTCTGATTTATCATTGCTTAACTGAATTTTCAGAGCTCCTAACTCATCTTGGACGCAAAACAGTGCAAATAATGGCACGAGGCCATTACGCCCTCAGTTTCATGTACTTGATGTGCCTCCTCTTAATTGTGTTCCATATTCTGGTCCACCTCCTGGCACTGCTTCAACACCAATAGACATAGATAGCATTCCATCACCACAAGTTAATTCCAAGCCTCCCATTGGTAACCACCCTGCTATGGTATTTATGCCTTCTTGTACAACTAATGAAGAGTGGAACAACATTTTAGCTGCTACCAGAAGTGGAATTGTACTCTCTGGAAGTGCTGCATCGGGAAAGATGGGACCACCTATAGGAGCTGTAGATGTTGGTGAATCTGAGGATAAATATGTATTTCGTGTAGCGCTACCGGGCGTCTCTAGTGTTCAAAGTAAGTATCATGTTTGACTAGCATCTATCCAATCATATTTCAGTATCTTATAAGATTCGAACGGTCATGTTTTCCCACTGCTGATTATGCTTTTTGTTTTCTTTTCGGAAATTAGTTAATGATATTGATACATGTAATAATGCATCTAATATATACGAATCCAAATTTAATCACCTCTGTTTCCCATTTTAACTCTATATTGTCACTGAATATGTGCCTGAACATGAATGATCTATCTCATCGCAAGTTGCATACATATAATTAATTGAAGTGTTTAAACTTCAACAATAAGAATCAAAGCATCAGGACAACTTTGGTAATCATGTAGTTCTTCGAGTGGTTGAAGAAAATCAAATGAAATCAGTGATTAGGTTTTTTGACAGTATCCATGATAACTTAACATTCAAATAAGATAATATGAATTGGAAATATGGTCCTGAACTAAGTGGATATACGCACAAAATTACTCATTGTTTGCTGTGTTACTAATATTCTAGACAAGACAAATACAAAATGTACAAAATGAAATGCATTTATCGAACATCTTACAATAGAAGAATCAAGGTTTAGCTGGCCCAATCACCATATTCTAATTACCCTAATAAATTCCTTCCCTTAGTGCCAAAATAAAAATTAATATTAAGGTGATATAAAAGGGAGTAGGGATGAATGAACCAAAAAAAATAGCATGGTTTATATTTTCTGCTAATACTTGTGGACTTAATGCCAAATGGTAATTTGTCTCTTACTCTTACTCTCAAAAACAAGATATAATTGATATAGGTGGACTACTAAGAATGTGATAAATATCGTGTGTGAAAATGCTCCGACATTAGAAATTTGTATAATATCATATGCATGAATCCCTAAGTGGTGTCATAATCTTTTTTGGTTCTCCACAAGGTTAAGACTAACTTATGTATGTATGTTTTTGAGGGACTAAGATATCATAAAAATGTAAGAATATTCTTTTGAAAGATCTTTATTATTCCAACTCATGGACTATTGTAAAAATCAATAGATATTTTCTACTTTCGAGGCTATATAAATGACATAGTGCTTTATAGGAAGGACCTATAAGGATAGAGTGTCGGACAAGATACGACACGGACATACCATCACACAATTCTTCAAAAAAGTACCGGCATGATGCATTCTTGACACGCTAATTAAATAATGTTAATTTTTATCTTTATTTATTATTATTATTTTTTTACATCATAAAGTAATTTTTTT